GGCTTAAAGCTGAGAACCACTGGCCTGTTGGGAATTGTTCCCCACAAGGCCCAGGAAGAAGTATTCCCCTGGAATATTTTGCCACTCATGCCCACCCATTTCCTCCACTTCCTAAGAAAACATATCCCAGAGAGAGGATTCACAGTTCCCACGTTTGGTTTTTAGCTTCCAGCTGCTCCAAGGAATACCAAGTGGAGGCTTCTCATTATCTCCCTTCTTTCCTAAGGAAAAAAATGCCATGGATTTGGTGTCTTCTTTCTTGCAGTCCTTTAGAGGGGCAAGGGGTTAATCCCTTTGTTGGCACTTGATAGTCTCTGAAGACTCTAGAATGATCAGCAACACAAAGTCAAAGATGGAAGCATGTGGCTCTCCACTACTGAAATCTCTCTGTGGCTCTCAGTTACACTTAGATTTCCACATAAACCCCTTGCCAAGGCCTTCACCCTTCCAACCATGTCTTGCCCATTTGTTCACACCTCCAGTCACTCTGGCCTCCCTCTGTCCCTCTAATATGCCAAGCTCCCTTCTGCAAGGACCTTTGCACTTGCTTCCCTGTTACTTGGAGGACTCTTCTCGCACACCTTGGCTTGTATGGCTCCTTCTTGCCCTGTAAATCCAAAACCAAATGCCACAGAAAACTTCTGGCCACCCATTTCAAGTGCCCTCTACCCTATACATCATCATTTATCTCATTACCCACATTTGTTTTCTAGTGAGTACTTGACACTATCAAAAACTGATCTGATATATTTATTTGTGGTGTTTGTTTGTTAAGATGAAGTCTCACTCTGTCGTCCAGGCCAGAGTGCAATCGTACCATCTCGGCTCACTGCAACCTCCGCCCCCTGGGTTCAAGCAATTCTCCTGCCTCAGCCTCCTGAGTAGAGATTACAGGCACATGCCACCATACCTGGCTAATTATTATATTTTTAGTAGACATGGGGTTTCACCATGTTGATCAGGCTGGTCTCGAACTCCTGACCTCATGATCCGCCCACCTCGGCCTCCCAAAGTGCTGGGATTATAGGTGTGAGCCACTGCACCCGGCCTATTTGTTGTTTTTTTAATTCTCTGTCTCTCCTCACCAGAATGTGAGACATGAGGGACCTTGTTGTATTCCCAGCACCAGAATAGTTGCTGTTATATTGCAGGCATAAGATTTACATAAACATCTGTTGAATTAATGAGTAAGTGAATTAATGAGTAAGTAAATTAATGACTACATGAACAGAGGAAAAGGGTTGAGGAGAGAAGGATCAGAGTTGAGTAATTCAGTCATCAAGATGGTGATGGGCCTGAGTTCCTCTTCTCAAGGACAGGAGCACCTGAGGCCAGTTGAGTGGGCCTGGAATGCTGGCACCACACCAGATTGTCTGCCTACTTTTTCTCTTACCCGTTATCTTAGGTCCAGGCTCCCCCAACTTCTCCTCCTCCTTCCCTCCCTCTCTTTCCACTGTCATTACATTACAGTCATTAGAAACCAGCAGATTCAGACCCTCCTGTTGTCTTTTTCATAAAGGACTGTTAATGGAGTTAGTTTTCAGCAGGGGAACTGCAAACTGTTGTCAACTCTGACTTGGCCACCCACATTCACATAATTAATCACACAGGAAATCAGAAAGGGGTGGCATGAGGGCTGGAGCCTAGCTGTGTTGGGGCCCTCTTCCCAGAGAGGAGTGTGGTACATCACACAGCTGCTGCCCACCAAGAGCCCACATTTCAGGTTGGAAACAAGACAACCCAACTGGAACCACTACAGGGTAATACAAGTCAGGATCTAATTAGCACTGGAGGGTAGGAGGTGGCCCTCCACCTTCAAGATATTGGTAACAAAGGAAAGGAAATTAAATGGGGAAGGTAGAGGCTGGAGATAGAAACAAGCTTAAAGACAATCTCTTCTAGAATTATAAGGAAGAGGGCATTTATTGAGTAATGTATTCTCTATTGCTGTGTAACAAATTACCACAGACTTAGTGGCTTAAAACAAAATACACTCATATGGTTTAAACATTTATAGTTTTAAACTTACATTTGTACAGTTTCTGTGGGGTCAGGAGTTCAGTAACAGCTTAGCTGAGTGCATTGCTTGAGACCTTGGTCAGCCAAGGCCAAGTTCTCATCTGGTGGCTTGACTGGGGAAGGATTCACCTCCCCACTTGTGTAGCTGCTGCAGTATTAAGTTCCTTGTGGTTGGTGGACTGAGAACTTCTGTTTCTCACTGGCTGATGGTCTGAGGCCACCCTCAGCTTCTAGACATTTCCCACAGTTCCTTGTCATTCCTTGCTACATGGGCTTCTCAAACTTGACCACTTATTTCATCAAGCAGCAAGGAGAATCCCTAGAACAGTGGCTAGCAATATGTAGTATTATCATTACATAATCACAGAAGTGACATTCCATCTCCTTTGCCACATTCTATTGGTTAGAAGAAAGTCACATGTCCAGTCCACACTTAATAGGAGGGGATTATACAAGGGTGTGAACACCAGGAAAGGGGGAAAGGATTTTGGAACAACCACCACCCTAGAGTATATCAGCTACATTACCTATTAGGTTTAGGACTATGCCAAATACTTTTACATGTATTACCTCAGTTAATTGCTAAAACAGCCTGTAAGGCAGGCATTATCTTCCTTGCACAGATAAGAACATGAGGCTCAGAGGAATGAGAACTTGCCCTAAGTCCTGCCAACATTAAGATGGGGACCACCATATCATAGCATCAAGTGAACTTGTATGAGTGTACAGGCTGGAGGGCCAGCACCCTTACAGTAAGGAGCAAGGGCCCCAGGGAGGCGGGGAGGAGGCAGCAAGAGCAGGAGGGGGTTAGCTCTCCATGAGGGGTGAGACCAAGAGGAAAGGATGGGTATGGATTACATTTCCAGAATGAAGGAAGCTGAGAGCACTTATATCTGAGGATCTCTATTTTCTCAATGAAGCAGAAAATGAGGGTGTCTCCTGAGAGGGTGGAGGTTGGGCTGGAAGGGAAGCAGAGCCAAGTTGGAATAGCAGCTGTGGGGAATGGGGAACGGGAATTTTGCCAGCATGCCTACAAAGTTGTCAAGTGGAATAAGGCTGCTTCCTTCATGAAGACTGCAGCATAGGCTTGGTGGGTGGTCCCCAGTCCCTCCCCTATTACTTTCCATATTCACTTTCATCATCTTGCTTTGCAGTGCTGCAATTTACACCCAAGTCCATCTCTCTTGTCAGAAGGAAAGTTTTTATAGGGCGGAAACTTAACAGTAGTGCGTAATGTGCCTCTCCATACCCAGCACAGGGCCTGGCACATGAAAATCCTCCGCAAATGACCTGTTTGCTTCCAGACCCTGAATTTCTAAATCACTGTATTACCTTTCATCCCCTAAAGGCTCATGCAGTTCTAAAAGACTGTTCAAAAATATGTATTTTTACTTTTCAGCACAGTAGAGTAGAAAGTGTAGGTCCCTCTATCATGGAATAGGGGTCCTTAGAGGTGGAGTTAGGGAGGTCTGTTGCATGTATAAACTGGTGACAAAAAGGCAGCTTTGCATTTTGGCCCAGTATTTTTGATGTCAAGAAGCCAGAAGAACCATTTCAAAATATTCCATTTCAGTCTTTATTGATTGGTATGGAATGTTGCCCACAGTATATTCTTGCCTGAAAAATCTAGTTACCACACAGACACTTACAGGACAATCCCATTTGTGTCAAATTATAGTCAAGTAGAGAAAAAACCTAAGTCAGACCATCTCAGGGAAAAAATGCAATGTGTTGTTCATCTTCAATGAAAAGTTTCGGAGATTATTCTGATGCCACAGGGATTCTACCATCTCGGCCTCCTTCTTGGGCCCTATGAGATGGCAAATGGCTGTCCACATTCCCTGGACTGCAGTGTCCCCCAGGACTCCTTACACAGGTCCAGAGATCCACCCTGATAGGACCAACTTGGGTCACATGCCCACCACTGAGCCAATGACTGTGGCCAAGGCGATCCTGCCCTCTGATCCAGCCTTGGTCACAAAAGGGAGTCAGGGTGTTGTGAACAAAAGGAAGAGGAGTGGATGCCACATATTATACCTCTATCCACTGAAAAACAACTGCTCTGGTCCCCAGCCCCCTGCTTTTTTTTGCTTTTTTTTTTTTTTTTGTAAAATCTGCCCCTTGCCTCCTCCTGATTAAGGAACACCCCTGGGGCTCACCCTGGCCCCACTGAGCGTATCTAAGTGTTGCTGGAAATCCTGGGTCCCCTCAGGCCTATCTCAACTCAGATATCATATGTTTCTCCTGGGGCCTGAAGTGTGAGCTTGAACTCTAGGCCTTCTAGCCCTGGCAGTCTTCCCAGTCCTGCCACTTCTTAGCAGAGTCAGACCTCATGTTCCTGAACCTGACACTTAGTAGGGCCCTCTAACCTGGATCACCACTCAGAATCAGGGTGCTTCTACCTCCGTGACTGCTGCTACTTTACACCTGGAGACTCCCACCCAGTGGTCCAAGTCACACCTTTTGTTTACTGCTGACACTTCTCTCAAAGCTAGCCCTTCCCTCCCTTTCCCTCCCCTCCATTTCCCTCCTTTCTCTTCCCTCCCCCTCCTCTCCCTCTCCCTCTTCCTCCCCTCCTCTCCTTCTCTCCCCCCATCCTCTCCCTCCCCCTCCTCTCCCTCTTCCTCTTCTTCCCCTCCTCTCCTTCTCTCTCCCCATCCTCTCCCTCCCCCTCCTCTCCCTTCTCTCCCCATCCTCTCCCTCCCCCTCCTCTCTCTTCTCTCCCCATCCTCTCCCTCCCCCTCTTCTCCCTTCTCTCCCTCCATCCCACTCCTTCCCCCTCCCTTCCATTCTCCTCCCTTCCCCTTCTTTCCCTTCCCCTCCTCTCCCTTCCCCTCCTCTCCCTTCCCCTCCTCTCCCTTCCTCTCCTCAGGATCAGTTTCCCTGCCCCAATGTCTCTCTACCAAGCCACTCCCTCCTCCACAAAGCGTCAGTCACAGCTACTCTAATGCCACACATGAGACCAGGAACAGGAAATATGATTGAATGGCATTTTATTTTTTCAAACTGGATCCATCAGCTCTGCCTGACTCTTTTCCCTCTGCACCGCTTTCTAGCTGACATTCGGTACTTCTTTCTGGCATTACATTGTTTCCGTTGTTTACGGTAGAGTTCAAGTTCCTCGAAGTACTTAGCTCTCAGGAGAGCCGCTCTCTGCTCATAAGGGTGCTTCTCCAGGTCTGTCGTTGCTGACCACATCTTCCCTGTGGCCTTGGCCACCTGCACCACCGACCAGCTCGGGTTCTCCCTCTTCAGCTGAGCATAGTGGTCTTGGCAGAAGAGTAGGAAGGATGATGGAGGCCGTCTGGGTGCCTGGGGATCCCGCTTTCTCCGTTTCTTCCTCTTGCCAACGTAATTCATCATTTCTTCCTGGTATCGGGCTTTGTCGAGTTTGGCCAGGGCTTCATATTTGGCCTTTTCATGCTTTGAGATGGATCTCCATTTTTCCGAACACTTTCTAGAGAACTCTTTAAAGCCAACGTAGGTATTTGGCTGCTGCTCCTTGAATTTGTTTCTGTAATTCAGCAAAAAGTGGATGTAAGAAGAGACATTTGCCTTAGGCTTTAGCTGGATTTCTTTTCCCATGTTCATAAGTTCATCTTTTTTCTGGATTCAGTAACTTGAACAGGAGAGACTGTTGTCCCCACACTCCAGGAGCAATCTAGAAGGTGCTCTGCTTGCGGTGAATTTTTCTGTCTGCAAGAGCTGCAGTCAGGGCTCAGCCTTTTCAGTGGTGATGGCATTGTTGAGTCAGAGGAGGGAAACTGTGACATCATCCACAAGCCAGCCAATCCCAGCCAACACCTGTGGGCATTTGTGTACGGGTGTTCTTATTGGTTGGTTACTTAAGGGTCAATGGTTGCCTCTCATGAAAGATGATGGTTCATTCATAGAAGGCTATGAGGCAGCTATGTCCCCCAGAAATAATTTTCTTTGGCTTTCTGGAGGCAGTGGGTTTTGCTGCACTTTGGGGGCTTAAAATCCCTAGGCTGTAGTGACAGGCCATGGGGTCTGCTTTCTTCACTATACGATTGTCAGGATGCCACATCATCCCTTCCAAAGACAGGCTGAGAATAATGAACATAGGGAGGTGGATAGCTCCAGGGCTGTCATGATAAAATGTGAAGTCTTTCTGTTTGCCTTGAACAGTGGCAGCTCATGCCATACAAAGGGTTTAGTAGTAACTCTAAAAGTAATCAGGTATGACAGCTGTGACTTGGTTCCTGTCAGGACAAAGTTGTCTAATTTAAAACCTGAGCGCTTGGGCTGTGAGTTTGAACTCTTCGTTTCTCTGAAGAAATGTGAGGGGAAAGAGGGAGGAGAACCTTGAGATTTTATTAATTAACACTTGAGTCCATGAAAATGAGATGGAATTTGTAGCATATCCAGAAGCCTCCCCACTCTCGTGTGAGGGGTCCCCATTTCTTAGGTTTAGAACACAAAGCTGTAACAGCTACGCTCAAACTGGCTGTCTTCTGGCTTTTGGTCAAAGTAGTTGCGGATATTCCACTAGTCTTTTAATTGGAGGGAAGAGAAAAGATGAAAAAGTGTCATTTTTTGGGCCTTTGGATACTGCTAGGTACTTGCCTGTGTGGCATTGGGTTTAATATAACTTAATGGTTGATGATAGCCCCAAATTTATAGGACTAGAAAACCGGGTTTCATTAACATAAAAAGTAACATGTTCAAGGTTGAACAGCCACTCATGGGTGGGAGTGTGGATTTTGATTGCTGATTGCTTGACCTAAGCCTGTACTTCATCCTGTCTGCACAGAGCTGCTGCCGGGGCACTGAGGGTCCAGATGTATGGTCTCAGCAGCTGAGCCGGACAAGGAAACTTGCCTAAGACGACCATATTTTGAATTTTTCCAGGTTCATTCCCAGGGTTCCAAGACTTCAACATTCATCTTCTGTAAAAGAAAGATGGAAACTAATAAGAGTCTCCAATCCTGAATTCTGCCCCAGCTCTGCTGCAAGGTGGTGGCCCAAGCCAGCCCCTTCCCTTGTGTGAGCTTATGATCTTTCATAAATTGAGCATTCTGGACTGGTCAGAAAAGCCCCTCCAGGGGACAAGCTGTAGTTGTGTGGCAGGATTTGGGGGCGTATAAGATATCAAGTGCCAGTCAAGGAAGTCTGGGCTAGCAGGGGGTCTGGCAAAGGAACAGATTACTCTGGGGACACTTCTCGGCCTAGGTAGCCTTTTTTCCCCTGGCTCTTTCTCCCAAGGGGCTGGAGGTCGACTCACACATTTGCTGGACATGAGCAGGACTGCATAGAAGAATGGGACACAACTCCTTTCTGAGATCAAAAGATGGGACATGAGGAAGAACTTTAATGAAAATCCACATATTAATCAGACTCTGCTCAGGCTCAGACACACACACACACACACACACACACACACAGTAGCTTATCTGTGTCTCTGTTCATAACCTTCCATCCCTCTCATGATGATAAGATCCAGGAAGATTAACCCACAATAGCTATCGGGAAGCTAACAGATTTAAGAAGAAAAGGCAGTAAAAGGGAAAAGCTATGTCAATCTCCCCTAAAGTCCTTGTTTAGGGGAGCTTAGGAAAGGTAAATAAATCTGGCTTCATAAATCAATGCTATGTGCTGGGTATCTAAGATTTGCCATTCCAGATCCCCTTTCCAGCCTTCTCCAACCTTCTCTTTTCAGCCTTCTCTGGCCTGGGAAGCTGTTCTGTATGAGCCACATCAATGGATCCCATACTCTCTGGTTTCCATCTCACTTTGGTCAATGGGGTCCCCCCATAGGAGATCAGAGATGGAGGAAAATTAGGTCAAGGTATTTATTCTCCTGGATCCCCACCCCAGGGTCAGCTGTAGCTGGTTCTGTGTCCCTGGACTAAAGGTCACTGGTCCTCATAAGATGTTCTCTCTAAGTGACTCTCTCCTTCCAGTATAGGCCTTGCCCCCTCTCGTTATCTCCTTATGCCTAGGGTGGTAAAATCTTGACTTTTATGAGCCTCTGAGGTCTCTGCTACTTTCCCACACTCTGCCCTCACCAATTATTTTAATTTTGAGTGGCCATCTGTTTCCTGCTGGGACCCTAACCAAAGTACCATGTTTTTAGCCTTTCACCATGTAGGCATCAGTTCAATAGAGAAGAGTAATGAGCTTCTGGAGATCCAAGGGCCTGGCAGTCACATAGCCTGGAGTGGTCTGCAGAGCAAGCATGCCTACAAGGACAGTGGCATGACCAGACCACATGCCCAGGAAGAGGTGTCCAATATTCCCTAGATTATGAGATGACCTCCAGGCAGGAGCATTGGTCTAGAGGGCCAGATAGTAAATATGATAGGCTTGGTGAACCACAGGGTTTCTGTTGCAAGTACCCAGCTCTGCCACTATACCCCGAAAGTAACCATAGAAAATACCTAAACCAATGAGTGTGGCTGTGTTCCAATAAAACCTTATTTTTAAAAAATAGGCTGCAAGCTGGGGGTCATAAATCTGCCAACTCGTCGTCCACAGATGTGAGTTCAGTGTTTTCAAACATCTTGATTGCAGTCTGCAATAAGAAATACATTTTACATCATGACTCATTTACATACATACATACTTAATATTTATATAATACTTAATATGAGCCAGCCTCTCTTCTAAGCACTTTATGTATATCATTCCATTCAATCCTCATAATAAGCCTATGGGAGGGCTATTTTTATCTCCATACAAGGATAAAGGTAGCAAAGCACAGAGAAGATATAGAGATAAAAATGTTCTACTTGTATGACATACTCTTATTTTCTACTCTGTTCTAGTCACTTCTACTTTATGTTGTTATTTAAAATGCCACCCACAGACTGACCTCATGACCCACTGATGGGTCACACTCCAAGGATGGATTTGAAAAACACCATCCAGACAAGCTGAGAGGGAGCTTCCACCTTGGAGACTGTGAGATCCTCTTTACTTGGTGACAATAACATGAAGTGGAAAGAACGTGGCCTTTGAAGCCAGACAGATATAAGTTCAAATTCTAGCTTTACCATTTATAGCTGAGTAACTTTGGGCAAGTCTAGCTCATTACAACCATATCTCTAAGAAGTAGTGAGGTGATAATAAAGCCATGAGGATGAAACAAATTGAAATGATAGGAATAAAAACAGCTGGCACTCCCCATCTCCTACAGTGTGGGCTGGACTTAGCCACCCACTCCTATTGAATAGAACATGGAAAAGGACAAACAGTAACTTAACAGTGGGGAAATCTGGCAGACACCACTTTAACCAAGTGATCAAAGTAAGCATCATCAGTAACGGGTCATGCTGAGATCACAGAACCCCTTTCTGTGATGCCATAATAAGAGCATCTCACCCCCATGATATTCTTCCCAAAAATCCACAGCCAAGGTCTATGAAAAACCATTAGACAAACTGAAATAAAGAACATTCTACCAAACACCTGATCAGTACCCTTCAATAATGTCAAAATCTTAAAAAAACCAAGGGAAGACTAAGAAACTAATGCAGGTTGGAAGAAACCAAGAAGACAGGACAAATGCAATAAGAGATGCTAGACTGAACCCTGGGACAGAAAAAAAAGTGGGGCACTGGTGGAAATCTGGGAAGATCTGAATAAAATGTTTCATTTAGTTAATAGTACTGTACCATTGCTGATTTCTTAGTTTTTACGCATGTCCCAGGGTTATGTGAGATGCCAACATTAGGGAATCTGGGTGAAGGATATACAGGACATTTCTGTACGATCTTTGCACTCGTTTCTTATTTCAAAATAACATTTTTTGAAAAAAAAATCTTCCCTGTTGATAGCAATGTGCACCCAGGGTAAAGACACCCTGCTCTTGATCCATCACCTCCAGGAATCACAGGGCCAGATTTTACCCTCAATTACAGCAGCATATGGTCTTAGCATATCTCTGTCAAAGTATCTCTCAAATTTTGGACCATGATGGAATCACGTAAGCTTTTCAAAGCCCTCCGTACTCAGGCCACAGCAACAACAGCAAAAATACCTGGCATAGGCATGTGTTTGTCAAATGCTTTGAAACTTCCTTCATCCCCCTCCTGCCCCTTCCTCTGTGGAGTGGGACTCACTGGTTGCATTGACCCTCTGAGCAAGGCATCTGCAAGTGGCAGAAGAATGCCTCTCCAAAGATGCCGGCGTCCTAAGCCCTGAAACCTGTGAATTTGTTCCTTACTTAGCAAAAGGGACTTTGTAGCTAAGATTACTCTAAGGATTTAGAGATAGGGAGATGATCCTGGATTATCCAGGTGGGCCTGATAGAATCACATGGCCTTTGTAAGAGGAAGGCAGGAGAGTCACAGTCAGAGGAGATGTGATGAGAGAAGCAGAGGATCAGACGTGGAGAGAGATTTGAAGATGCTACACTGCTAGTATTGAAAACAAGGGAAAGAGGCCACAAGCCAAGAAATGCAGGTGGCTACTAGCAGCTAGAAAAGGCAAGCAAAAGGATTCTCCCCTGGTGCCACCAGAGGGACTCAGCCCTCCCCACACCTTGATCTTGGCCTGCTGAAACCCATTTTGGACTTCTGACCTCCAGAATTATAACACAATACATTTGTGTTCTTTAAGCCCCTAAATGTACCATTATTTGTTAAGGCAGCAATAGGAAACTAGCACAGTATCTTTCTCCTCCAGCTTCTTGTCTGTAACTTTTCCTCTGCCATTCTTAACCCCTGCTTGTGTTAATGCAGAAGACACATTTTAAGGTGAAAGTTTTACATCACCGCATATTCGATTTGTTGAGGGAGGAGAACATGATATATTCAATCCTGCACAATCTTCTTCACTCACTTGCTGACTTATTAAGTCACTAATTCACTCATTCGCTTACCAATTAATTCACTCTTATGTTCTTTCAGTTCATTCACTCACTCATGTACTCACACACCCATCTCAATAAATAGCTGTTGAGTTGCTGGAGCAGTGTGGCTGCTGCTTTGATGGCCAGTGTTGAACAGTGTTTGAGGGATGGATGTGTCTCAGGAAGGAGGGTGGTAGTCCAGGGAATCATCTGAATTCACCTGGATCGCTACATAATAAGAAGACAGGGAGGCCAGGCCATAAGCAGTCAGTCCAAGACTCTTTGGCACTGACCTCTTGCCAGGAGCTGTTAATCAGATGTGAGCACAATATTTTAATAAATATGATGATCATACTTTGGGTACATCATCTCTGGAAGCCTGGAAGCATGAAAAGAGAGACTAATTTATCCAAGGCCACAGAGAAATAAGTGGCAGAGCCAGCCTTCAAACTCAAGCTTGTTTGACCCTTTGGCTCATATATTTAGCCTCTATGGGTAGTCTAGGATCTCCCTTGGTTGGGGCTAGGGTAAGGAAGCAACCGGGAAGGAACAAGGCCAAGAATTTCAGGAGGAGGGAAGAAGAAAGGAGAAAAAGTTGTCTAAATCTCAACATTTAAGAAGATTCAGGTGAGTCTTTTCTAATCTGGGTTGATCCTCATTCTGGATGGATCTAGTCAACTTATCTCTAGGTCACGGGATATTCCAAGTCCAGGAGGTCAACTGACCTGGATGACCTATAGAACCAGCATCTGAAGATAAGCACGAAGCCTGCATCTCCTCCCAAGGGCAGAGGTTTGCCAAAGCCAGGTGAGGTGTCAGCACCTAGACCAATGGACTAGTGGACAGGTGGGCAGGCAGTGGTCAGATGATTAGACACAGAATGGGATCAGCATGGTGGGGGGATGCCTGGCTACCTATGATAGGATACGGGACAGACCTAGAACAAGATCAACTCTGGGTTGATACCTCACACAGTGATCTATGGACACTCCTCACAGGTCTTTAAAAACCTACTCCTTTATACCACAGAATAGGAGAGTGACCCTGATCATTCAGTCCACCTACTTCTCCTTCATCCACAGTAGACATCTTTTGTTTTGTCTGCCTAGTGCTCCTCCCTTCTTTTGAGCACATTCCTTCTTTTGGAGAATTGTCCCCAAACTAGTCATGAGGTTCTAGTGGGGGCCACCTCCTTGGCCCCAGGAATGGGCACATTCCCTAGCTAAACTTATCAGAGGCCTCTGATGGGCTTTTTCTAATTAGAATCATGGGGAGAGATCATCATCTTCTCTTTAGTGGTGAAGGTGAGAGAGTGAATCACAGAGCTACTAAGGGTGGTCATGGCCCCAGCCTCAAGCAGCTGCCATTTGCAATAGAAAGAATGATGCCAGCGGGCAGACCACAACATAGATGGGGCACAGAGAGAGAGGCTTTGTAGCATCGGAGTTCCTGGTTCTGGCCATCCCTGAGGCCAGCTACAACTCCACTCTTCCTATGGTTTAGCTACAATCCATAGCAGCCAATCATTTCTTCTGTAGGTGGATGTGATCTGGATTTCTCCTATCTGAAAGCCAAAGTATAAGGCATTAATCCAGATGGATGGCAGCAAGCAATACAAGAAGAGAGGAATTCTCCTCTCCCCCATTTTTGATGCTTTTTGGGCACATGCTATGTGCCAGGCACCTTTTATGTGCATCACCTCACTTAAACCTTTTAACAGCTCTATGAAGTGGGTGCTGTTATTATCCTTACTATATAGATGGGGAAACGAGGCCCAAAGCAGGTCAGTTACTTGCCCAAAGTGAGACAGTATGTTTAGAGCTGATGATACTTGAATTCAGGCAGTCTCCTTCTAGGGCCCATGTGCGAAGTCTCCACCCCAAATTGCTTTCTATTCAGTAAATCTTATTCCCTTTGCCTACGAGTCTACCTTGCTGTACAGAGATATGGCAGGGCCAAGAATTATAGATGTTGTGTCTTGAGGCCTTAGAGGGAACTTTGTGAGCATCACTCACAATCGCACTATGAGATATAAACTGGGGAAAGAGGGGCTCAGAGAAGTGAAGGTCACATGGCCAGCAGATGATGAAGGCAGGATTAGAACTCAGCTCCATGGGACTCTAGGACCACTTGCTCGCTAGCCTTGGTGTGTGTGAGATGTTTAACCCACCCATTCTCCAGCTGTTGGGCAGCTCACTCATTCTTCTGGGCATCAGAGCTGCTGATCTCTGGCAGGGCCCACTAGCTGCCTCCTGACAGGGGAAGGAACATCCATGATGCTCAAACTCAGAGTGGCAGTTGAGTGGCAGGTACACACTGATGTGGGCAGCTCCTCAAGAAGCCGTTTACAGCAGTCCTTCTGGGTGAGAAATAGTACTAATTACAAGCAGTGGAGGCTTCTGCAAGGCAAGCGGTGCCACCCTCTATGTCAGGAAGCAGGTTCCTTCTCCAAGTCATGTCTGCCAGTGACAGGTGGAAAGCGGGCAAGGCTGTGGAGGCCAGGCTGGGGTTCCCCAGAGAAAGAGGGAAGGTGATGGCCAGGTGTACTGGCTGGTCTGGGTACAACAGAGTGCCCTGTCCTTCTACTCCTGCACTGCTCTGTCACCAGAGTAGATGCAGGTGCCTCATTTCCCTGGAGAAAACTAAGCCAGGCTGCTCTGCGGTCTGCTCTGAAGGGAAGGGTTCAAGGCCCTGGTAAGATCCCACCCCCTCTTCTCAAACCCCAGCAAGTCAGGTGGAAAATAGCTCACGTTTGTGAGGCACCTACTGTATGCTAGGCACAGACTTGGTCACATTACACACATGAACACTGCTGCTCAGAGGAATCCCATTGCACAGATGAGGAAACTGAGGCTCAGAGAAGTTATGTCACATGCCTATGTTCACACTAGGCAACAGTGGAACCCAGATTCAAATATAGCACTGTCTGGTTTCAAAGGCCTGGCCCTTAACCCTTAACCTTTTTAAACCTATTACCTCTGTGGGGAACAAGACAGGTGATGAGCCAGATAGGTGTCATCTTCACTTAGACAGATACTCGAGCCAGGAAGAAGAGGGTTGAGTAGAGTTGAGTGTGAATGTGCTGTAGTCACCACGCTCTTGAGGGCTGCACCCTGTTTCTGGGCCAAGCCTGACGGGGATAGGCTTTAACATCCTAGAGCATGGAGGCTGCCAGTCCTCGGCGCTGCCATGCCGGATCTCAGATCTAATGTGTAATAGAGACTTGGGCTGGGGACAGGGGACAGCCAGCTAAAGGCTCAGCAGCTGGTCAGAGTGGAGACTGCTCTTAGATTCTGTCCAGTCAGACTGGCTTAGGACCTGGAGGATAAATGTACAAGGTTCAGGACATCATATAAGAGTAATAAGGGCAAGTTGGGGAGGCAGCAACAGACATGGAAGAAATGATGCTAGGACACCATTTCCCAAATCTCCCCTGGGAAAGCCACGCCTGTGGAATCTTTTCCTCATTAAAGTGAGTAGGCAGCCTTTCTCTCCATCCAAACCTTAAAAGGGGGCCATAGGGACCTACCTGCCTGATAGAAGTTCCATCAGCTGATTGGCCTAGCTTGGGACACATGACCACCAGGATCCAATCACCTGTAGCCTATGAGTCATATGATGTACATGGCTGCCCCTTTCAGGAGCTGTGGGTTGAGGGAAGGAGACTGGTCTTCAAAGGCTTCTAGTCCTCAGAAGAAAGTAGAACTGCCTGATTTAGACCTGGAGACAGTACAGGATAGAGTGGGCAACTCAGAAAAGCTGCTGGGGATCAAGCCTCCTCACCCAGAGCTTGGCATCGGCACCAATTCTGATCTTCAGACCCAACCCTGTTCTGTCACTTCGGCACGATGGGAAGATCCTCTCTATGGAGGCAGGAAACACCTTACCCATCAGCTCTGCCGGCTGAGCAGCTGAACTAGCAATGGAAGGAAACTGACACACCAAGCCACCCCCTAGACCTTCACAATATGCCACCACCCAATGCACAAGGCCCAACACGTTGGTGAGGAAGCCCTCATGCCGACAACAAACACAGCCAGGCTCCCTGTCCCTCAGCACTCCCAGCCCCAGATATATGTCCTCCAGAGAGCTGTGCATCTGGAGAAAAAACATTTACCTAATGTGGTTTGTGTGGGTTCCCTAGAGCTAACAATTAGCTGAGCAGGAAAGAGCTCTGATAATTT